CATCTTTGCACATACGTTCCTCTTAAGGAGGTCCCGAGTGGAAGCCTCGTTCATTATTAGATCCTGTGCGCGGGCTGCGAGTAAATATCGAGCGGGAGCCCCCCTCGCTATTGGCAACCACGCCATGTTACTAATCCGAGGGGGGCCATTCGAACCCTGTAGCTCTCGTCGCTGTTGAGCTCTTGAGGCCTCATATGGTGCGATTGGGCTGCAAGGAAGTGTCCAGCGGGAGCCCCCTCCAGATGAGCCCCCCACTTCACTACATTAAGCAGAAGGGTCCCTCGCCAGTCGTCACTTCTTGCCCTTGAGGTCCGAACATGGGGGAAGTCTGTAGCGGGAGCCTCGTTTGTGACTGAGCTGCGAGGGCGTGTCGAGCAGGAGTCCCCTCCCTATTGCCCCCCCCCCTTCTTCAGGTTGCAGATTCGAGGGAGGCACTCGAACCCTGTCGCCATCATCATGTGTGGGCTCCTGCGGCCTCAACATGGAGGGTGGAGGGAGTCTCGAGCGTGCGCTTCGCCTGTGAGTGAGTCGCGAGGGCGTATCGAGCGGGAGCCCCTTCCTTATCGGCCCCCCATTTCATGTTACCTTGGCATCGACCGGACGTGTGCATGTTTATCAGTCTTCCTTCGGCGAGGACCAGCGAGGAGCATCCTTGATAATTTGTCGAAAAAACCACGCGCGAAACCGAAACAAACAAACACAGGGAATGGACGTCCGAGCGATGGCCAGGTTACTAGTCTGAGGGGGTCGTTTGAACCTTGTATCGGTCGTCAGTTTTGAGCTCCTGAGGCATCACTATCAGCGTCGTCTCGAGCGGGAACCACGTCTGTGAGTGAGTTGCGAGGAACTATCTAGCAGGAGCCCCATCCCTGTGGACCCCCACCGCATTTTACGAATCCGAGGGTGTCATTCGAACCCTTTGTCTGTCGCCACGTTAGGGCCCTTAAGGCCCACGATAGGAAATATCGAGCGGGAGCTTCATCTGTGAGTGAGCTGCGAGGAAGAATCCAGCGGGAGTTCATGCCCTATGGTGCCCGCACTTCATTTCAGTAATCAGGGCGGGTCGTCGGCAAACTCTGCCAGGTATATCATTTGAATACCGCCAGGAGGGAATTCGTGAAGGTGTCTCTAGCGGGGCTTTGTCTGTGAATGGATGGCGAGGGTGTCTCGACCTGGAGCCGTTCCCTATGGGGTTTCGGCTTCATGCCTGTAATTGTTCGTTGTTGTGGAGTCTTCCCAGCAATGTGTTTGTTGTGTGTTTATACGTTCATGTTGCAATGGTGTTTCTATTACGTTGGAGTCCCAGCCCCTCAAAGTATTTCCCCGATTACTTTGGATTTATTTCTGAAAGCGTTATTCCCTACATCCTAGGTGGGGTTCTTGCTCCGCGCATCCTAAAATGGTTTCGTGCTTTCTCTGAATACCACGCGCAGCCCTGACACCTCACACGCCCTTTTCCCCCCTTTCACATGCATCATCGCCATCACACCACCGTCATCACTATCATCACCTCACCGTGGCCATCGGTCACCATCATCACACTCACACTCGCTCCCACAGTCACACACTCACAGAGTCGTCTTGAGGACCTCTCGAGCAGGAGCCTCGTCTATGATTGAATTGAAAGGGGGTCTCGAGCGGGAGCCTCCTCCTTGTCGGACCGCCAAATCATGTTACTAATCCGAGAGGGGCATCCAGAACCTGTACTTGTCGTCACTGTTTGGATTCTTCAGGCATGGATCTGGAGGAAGACTCCAGTGGGAGCCTTGTCTCTGAGCGACTTGTTGAGAAGTCTCGAGCCGGGAGGCCCCTCCCTATCGGACCTCCAGATCATGTTACTAATCCGAGCGGGTCATCCAGAACTTGTGGCTGTCTCCGCTCTTTGGTTCCTGAGGCATGTTCCTGGAGGAAGTATCGAGCGGAAACGTCGTTCCTGAGCGAGAATTGTGCGAGGCAATCTCTGGCGGGAGCTCCCTCCCAACGGGGCCGCCAGGTCATGTTATCGATCCGGGTGGGTCATCCAGAGCCTGTGCCTGCCTGCACTCTGCGGCTCCTGAGGAGTGCATCTGGAGAAAGTCTCGGGGGGCAGCCTCGTCCCCCAGTGCGTCGAGAGGACATCTCGAGCGGGAGCCCTCTCCCTATTGAGGCCGCCAGATCATGCTACCAATCCGAGCGGCCATCCAGAACCTGTAGTTGTCGTCACTTCTGGGTTCCTGGGGCATGCACTTGGAGAAACTCTCTAGCGGAAGCTTTCTCTTGTGGTGAATTGCGGAGAAGTCTCGAGCGGGGAACCCCCTCGTTGTGGGGCCGCCAGATCGTGCTATTAATCCGCACGGGTCATCCGGAACCTGTAATCGTCGTCATGTTTTGAGTTTTTGAGGCGTGAATCTGGAGGGCGTCTCAAGCGGACGCCCCGTCTCAGCGAATTGAACAGGAGTCTCGAGCGGGAGTTCTCTCCCTATCGGACCGCCGAATCATGTTATTAATCCGAGCGGGTCAACCAGAACCTGTAATTGTCGTCGCATTTGGGGCTCCTGAGGGATGAATCTGGAGGAAGTCTCGAGCGGGAGCCTCGTCACTGAGTGAAATGTGGAGCATTGTCGAGCGGGAGGTTCTTCCCTGTGGGGCCGCCAGATCATTTTACTAATCCCAGCGGGTCCTCAACTTTTGCACTCCTGAAACATGACACTGGGGGACGTCTCGAGCGGCCGCCTCGTCTATGAGTGATTCGAGATGAGAGGAAGTCTTGAGCGGGAGCCCCCTCCCTACGGAGCCGCAAGATCATGTTACTAGTCCGAGCGGGTCGTTCAAACATGTATTTGTCGGCACTTTGTGATCCTGAGGCATGAATCTGGAGGAAGTCTCGAGCGGGAGCTCCGTCCCGAGCGGGAGCAGGAGCAGGAGGCCCCAGAATGCCCCAGGAGGCCCCAGAAGGCTCCAGACGGCCCCAGGGTGCCCCACGAAACCCCAGGAGGAAGCAGGATGCCCAACGTGACGGCGGGAGGAGACATGGGGAGGAGGAGGAGGAGGAGGAGGAGGAGGAGGAGGAGGAGGAGGAGGCGGCAGAAAGAGGAGAAACACACAGTGGAGTAGGAAGAGGCCGGACGTAGAGGAGGAGGCAGCAGGATGACGCAGGAGGAGCATGCAAGAGGAGAAGGAGGAGGCAGGAGGTGGTAGGAGGAGGGGGCAGGCGGATATACCCAGGCAAGCTGAAAAGATTACCATATGGTGTCCTACTGCCCGACTAGTTAATTGATCTCTCAAGGTCGCACTGGGGGCCTCTTTCTGGATTTCGGGGGATCTGCGGAGCTTCGTGGGACCTCTTGTGGCGCATTGGGCCTTCCGTTGGGCCGCATCTTCGGGCCGTCTTGGGACCTACGGGGGCTTACGTATTGGGGCCATGCTGGAGCATTGGGGGGTTGTTTTTCGGCGTTCGCAGGCCAGTATCGGGCCTGTTTGCTCTCCCGGCGCGGTGTGGGCTTGCCCTGGGCCGGGGGGGGGCTCTCCTGGGGACCCGCTCGAGCACAGCGGGCCCTGCACACTGCCGATGGAGAACAAGTGGGGCGTTCCAGGCAGGGCCTCGCCTGCGATGATCGGAGGACTTGGCACCGCTTCCTCGGCGGAAGGGCGGCGGAAGCGAAACGAGGGCGCCTCCCCCAGCGAAAGCTGGCGGCAGCTCGGCGGAAGCCGGCGGAAGCAAAAAGTGGTCCTCCAAGAGATGGCACCATGTTTGGGCTCAAGGTCTGCGGAACCCGCCAAGTGAATTTCTACCATACCATCCTCCCCCCCTCCTCCTCCTCGTGGTCCTCCTCCCTCGTCCTTCTGGGAAACGACGACGGCGGCGATGGCGACCGTCGGCGACGACGACCTCGGCCTCCGCATGTCCCGAAGTTCGATGAACAGCTGGCGCCTTCTAGAAAGAGCCTCGCATTCGGCAAGAGGAGAAGCGCAGACCACTGCCACCGAGAACCCATCGGGGCGGGGCCCAGGCGAGGGCACGCCTGAGCGTCGTCTGGCACTGGGTGTCGCTCGGGCGTGCCACCGCCCTGGGGTCGGTACCCTCCGATGGGTTCTCGGCGACGGTGGTTTCTGCTTCTCGTTTGGTTCGGCTCATCTCGCCCTGGGCCAGAGCCTAGCGGAAGGCCAGCAGAAGTGATGCAAGCGGCGGCTTCTTTCCGCCGGCAGAGGGCGGCGGAGGCCAAGGTTGCATGCCAGTATTCGCAGGCGGTGTCTCGCCCCCAGTCGCCGAGCCCCCCCAAAAAAGAGTCAGGCCGCTGAGAAAAGCGGGAGCTTGGCATCGCTCGGACGTGTGCAGTTTTCCTTCGGCGAGGACCATTCCGGAGCATCCCTGTTCAGTTGGCGAAAAACCACGCACGGAACCGAAAAAAACACAGGAAATGGACGTCCGAGCGATGGCCAGGGGAGGATCTCGGGGGCATGCCCTCTGGGGGCTCTTCGGACGCAGCCCTATCGAGGACGGACGCCCCTCGAACTGCATATTACCGAATCTTGCCCAAATGTTTGGCCCATTGAACATTGTACAAAGTCTGGGATTGGGGTCGCCATGCAGTCGGGGCTCTGAATAGGGAACTCTTTTCGTTGGGGAGGGGCTCCGTGTTCCTTCATTGTTTCACATTCTGCCCCAGGTTATCCTTGGATTTTCGATGGGAAGTCGAAGTTGAACTTCTGGAGAAAAGGGGCCTCGTTCCTTATTTAGGGTTCCTGGGTCAACGCCCCGACGGATTCCTTGGGAGACGTTTTTGAATGCAGGCTTTGCGGATTCGGACAGGCACCCGGGTATAAATTGCAGCGTGGGGTAACGTTTTTGCACATCCACATCGTGTCCTCCTAGCACCGCCGATTCTTACTCCCGACAGCCCCCTCCTTTCCCTCCTACTCCGTCTAATACCCACTTGCTCCCGCAAGAACTTCCAACCACTCCTTGGGGCCTCCTGAGTCCCATTCGACGAGTCGAACATCAGCAAACCCGCTTATTACGTAGCCATTTTGGCTCAAGTAGGTTCGTGCGGTCGCGCATATTCCGCGGCGGTGCGGCTTCTGCGAGACATGCATAGCCCGCGCTACGTCAACGATGACGACGTCCAGATGGGGCTCTTGAGGAAGGCGGGGATGGCGCTCCCCGCCCAGCCTGATGATGGCTTTCCAGCGCCACCATGGTGTCCCGCATGCATGAACTGGGAGCTTCTTCTGAGCATGTACAACTCGCTGTGCCGATTCAGAGTGATGTACGCGTTCTGTGTGACCTTGGCCATGTTGTTCGCCTGCACTCTCGCAGGGTCCATTCAGCTTGGGTTTGCTTTAGCTGTGGAATCGTTCGACGACGGCCAGCACATCAACGACGGTCGATACAACATTTCCGTGTTGTTCGTTTACGTAGCATTGCCATGTTTAGTTTGGTTTGGTTCCGCATTGGTCGACCAAGTGCCTGACTTGATCCTTGACGCTATGGAGCACCCGCCTTGTCTCCGGCTCCGTGCCACTATGATCGAGTTAGGAGCGTCTCACGAAATGGCAGACAGATGCGTCATCTTAGCTTTAGAAGCATCCCCAGTGGCGGGCGCAATTATCACCTATGTGTATTCTGTCGTGTCTGCGCGGTGGTACGACCGCAACTTCGACATCACTTTTGCATCGTTTGTATTCGACCAGGGATTTGGGCTCAACAATGGCGCAGTCGGTGTTTGCTTGCTTGCAGCGCTGTTGTACGCATGCGTGAAGGCGCGCTATCTATACTTCTCCGCAGTGAACAAGATATCCCCGACCATACCTGTCACCATGAAGCGGTTGTCAGAATTCATGTTGGGGGAGGTCTATTTTCTCCATCCTGACCGCCATGTGATGCGGGAAGACAGATATTCCCATGAGCGGGTTCTGTCCCATGTGGAGAAACGCTGGTACTATACTTACAGCGAAAGATCGGCGGTCCAGAACCATCAAAACGTGCATCGGCCAGAATTTGGAGCGGCATGTTGCTTGATCGCATTGATTGGTTTTTTGTATGGTGGCTTGGCAAGCCAGTACGACTTTGAGGAGAAGTTCGTACCTAAGAGTTGGACGTACATAGTCAGTTTCCTCGTGAGGATGGTGTTCTTGATTGTCATGACGGTGGGCGTCCGCCATATAGTGCCTGGCTTGCTCGGGCCGTTGTTCTACGTGGTGTTGGCCGCTTACAGTTTTTTCAGTTTCTCTTTGATAGGCGCAGCGCAATCTCTCGCTCACACAGAGCACGGCCAGGTGCTGCTCTTTGACAATGTGACAGGGCTCTCCGAGGGCACCTCAGTATACCAGGCAGACTCTAGGAGGGGCTATCCTATCTGCTCGTCGCGATGGGGGTCTTTGGAAGTTGAAGAGTCCCAACGGCTTTCGGTGTTGGATCTGTCAACTTTTGCCTACGCCATGTACACGTGGCGAGACTCAGAGGAGGTGGATGCGCAAGTGCGGATGGCGTTTGCCAACACGAGCCTGGGTGAGGTGGTGCTCGATAAGCCGTTACGGCACAAATGGACGATACACCGCTGGGCCAGCTGGGCCATCCCCAGCTCCAGGACGCGCGTCATCGCCATCCGAGGCACGCTCACCTCCTGGGAGGTCGCTGTCGACGTCGAGATATACGCGTTGGTGATGGTAATGGAGTCCCTCAGTTTCTTCACCCCTGTTCTAAACTTCATGCCTAAAGATGGGATCCGCTGGATGGTCAACAAGCTGACATGGACGAGCGATTTCGATGGGTCACCATGGGATCCGCTATTTGAGGAGGCCAGGCTTCTGAAGCAGGCAAGTGACGAGGAAGGCTATGATCTGGTGATTACTGGACATTCGCTCGGAGGTGTAATTGCAATGATTGCTGGTGCGAAGGTTGGAGCTCAATCGATATCATTCTCACCGCCTGGGGCATTATACGTTGAAGGCAGATTCGGAGTCCACAGCGATGCCATCCAGAGGACGAGCACGCTGATCCAGCCGCATCGGGACCCCGTGCCGATGGTGGACGTCCAGAAGGGGATGGTGCAGAACATCCGGTGCGACCACGCCGCCCCCGTCTGCCACTCGATGGCCATCACGCGGTGCGTGCTGTTCGACGAGTGCGGGGACGCCAGGGGCCGCCGCATGCAGGACATCTGCGCAGCCGCCGGCCAGCCGGTCAGCAGCGCGGCCGCGGCCCCGCACTCGGCCACGACCATTTCCGAAGAGTTCGCGGCCGCTCCCGCGCCCGCGGGCACAGCAATGGCCACGGCCTCTCCCTTGGCGGCGGCCACGACCACTTCTGACGAGTTCTTCGCTGCGGCGGCCATGGACGCGGCCACGGGGTATGGAGGCAACGACGGCCACGGGGTCTGACCGACCGCAGCCGCGGCAGCGACCTGGGCCCCATCGACGGCCATCGACCCCGTGCCCGTGGTGTCCTGCAGGCTTCGGCGGCGGCCTGCACTGGTGGAGCGGCTCTGAGCGCCGCGCCCGGACTTGGAGCGACCTGGAGGGAACAGGCAATCCCCGCCTCCTCTTCTTGCTTCTCCTGCTCGCTGTCTGCTCCCCCTGCTTCTCCCCCTCGTCCTCCACGCAGCGCGGCGCCCTTCGAGTGCCCACTGGCGTGAGCAGGCTCCCCGGACACCGCATCCTGGAATTCGCTCCTCTCCCCCCCTTCCGTCGGGTGAGCGGCGCGCTCTGACGGTGGCTACCAGGGCAGGGCGATCCGCGGGGCCGGTCGGCCACAGAGGGAGCAGCAGCAGCAGCAGCAGCAGCAGCAGCAGCAGCAGCAGCAGCAGCATCCTTACACCCACTTCCCGCCGCACTCCGACCTTTTCTTCCACTCCGCAACCTCCGTCGAACAGAGCCTCCTCGTCGCAGTGACATTGGCACACGTGTGGGTGTGCCCGCGAATGTGAGCACGCTGAGGCCAAAGGATTTTGACCGTGGCGCGAATGACAAATGCCCCGCCACGGCTGCCCGAGCGTGTTGACGCCCTTGTGCCGCCACAGGGGCCATGCGATTAATTAGCGGACCTGATGCTTGTGACCTCAGTAGTTAGAGCATCAATTAGAATGCGGCTCAAGTCCGTTTATGCGTATTTCAGACAGCCAGACCCCCTTTTCCAGAACAATGTGACCCCCGCCCATCTCCTCTCCCCTTCTCTTGCCCTTGCAGGCAGGCTGTGAGGGCGCATCGCCAGCAGCGCCAGTATCTTCCACTTCTCCCAGGAGGCCCATCACGCCCATCACCAATCTGGGCGTGAGGATGACTGTGCTTCGCCGCGGTTCGCGCATGGCGCCGCACGAGTTGCAGCGTCAGATGGCGTAGGAAGTCCCGACAAGTCTCTCGAAGGTCTCGGAGGTCCCAGGTCAATGGGCGAGCGAAACCGCAAAGCATCTCGAGCCCCGATCCTCCTCCGCGCATGCGGCTCTTCCAGCGTGCCCACCTCTCTCTCTATCGTTTTTTTTTGTTATCTCTCTCTCTCTCTGTCTCTCTTTCTTCCAGGAATCCTCCAATTGACCTGAGAACGGCGCCCGCGCGCTCGCGCGGGGGCGGTGCTCGAGGGAGCTATGGCTCTCACTGGGTAGATGCGTCCCGAGGGCCTCGGCTTGCCCATTCTCCTCCTCCTCTCCTCCCTACCTCGGGGGCACCAATCGGGGGCCCCCAAACGATGCGGTGACCACACCGTGCGATGAGTCAGAGGGGATTCGGGGTGACCGCACTGTTTGGAGGCTCGGGTCGTTCTCGGAGGGTGTCGCGGGCGAAAGAGGCCTCGAGGGTTCCAAAGCCGTGCAGTGACGGCCCGTGCGGTGAGGTCTCTTGGGATTTCGAGGTCACCGCACGGATTGTCACCGCACCGCTTTGGGACACCCAAAATCGATTGCATCAGCATCCGCATGTCCGCGCCGCCCGCGTGCCCCCCTCCTCCCCACGGAGGCCCCGGAGGGGCCAGAGATCCCCAAGAAGCAAACGAATGCCCCTTAATATCTGGGAACGAGCCCAGAATGCGGGGAGAGGCGCGAGGTTTACCGGGGAAGGGACCTGTGAAGCCCGCCAAGCGGGGTCCCCAGGGAGGGCCGAAGGCAAACAACGAAAAATACGAACCATCCTCGATCCTCGATCCAAAACCAAGGCCTCGGTCCTTGATCAAGGACGCCCTCGAGGGCGCGAAGATATTCACGCTTCGCGGTTCGGCTCCGATTCCTCTTTATCTTCCTCTTCTCCCCTGGGAGGTGGCGCGAGAGCGCGAAGTCATTCGCGCTTCGCGAAGCGAAAGGCGCGAAGCTCGACGCCTTTGACGATCTTCGATCCAAATCCCGTGCCCGCGGCTCGTCGGACGGCGCCGCTCTCCCCACTCCCCCCTCTAACCCCCCAGCGCTCCCGTTTGAGCAGGGGTTCCGGGGGGGAGAACCTCCCACCCCGTCTGACCACTCAAGAATTCTAGACGCGTGACGCTTCGCGTAACCCCACCAGTCATACCGCCCTTTGGACTTTTCCTTGCGGGCCGCTAATCAAAAAAGTAACCCCACCAGTTCCGGACCGCCATCCGAGTTCAGCGGCCATGGCTGCGCCCCCTCTTCTTCTCATTCACACTTTCTCTGCGGTTTTCGGCTGCGCCCCCCACAATGTCTCTGCGGCTTTCGGCTGCGCCCCCGTCGTGTCCGCCGTGATTGCACAAATCGCTGATGTGTGGCCGCCCCTCGTCCTTCCCTGGGCGCTCGCCTGGGCACGTCACCCGGGCCCTGGGCTTTGTCGGCGCCCCCTCCTCCTCCTCCTTCTCCTCCTCCGTTCCCCCCCTTCATTCACAATGACTTTGCGGCTTTCGGCTGCGCCCCCCCCGTGCGAAGGTTGCTGCGGCCGCAGAGGTGCGCCCGCCCTGTGACAGCCCGCGCACGGACGCTCAGGGCTCCATTTGTGTCCAGCAGCATCTGGCTGCACCCCCTCCTCTTATTCACAAGTCTCTGCGGCTCTCGGCTGCCCCCCCCCCGCGTTCACAGCATAGAAAGCATCGTCGGGAAGTTGTGACCCGCCCAGGGAGCAGCAGTGGCGACCCAGCCCAGCAGGCCAGCACGCTGACAGCGAAGGGTACTGCGGCCGGCGGACTGCCTGCCCCAGCTCCGGTCGCACCCTTCCTCCGCAGGGGCAGCGTGGCATGTGGTGGGTGGGGGTGCCACCACGCACCATTGGGTGTGCCCTCGCCGTATGAGCGACCCGTATCGTGTGGTTCAGCCTGCGGTCAACTTGTAGCTCTTCTCGTCGCTGCCACATGCCAAGCCCTCGCCAGGACATCGCATCGTTGAGCCCCCGGACCGCGTGAGTCGGATACGATGTGGATACACTGGCTATCGGCTGGTTGCCAGCCTGCGAGCGCACGCCTGTGGTACTGCAGTGGAGGGGGGTTCGCCTTCCCATTGTGACACCGGCGCTCAGCAGCAGGCAGCGCCCCCCCCACCTGAGTATCGCCGTGGTTCTATGCTGACCCGATCATGGCGTTACCACAAGGACGTCTCGGCCCGCGGCCACTACGCCGCCTACAATCGTTGCGGCCTACAGTTGGTCGCCGCCAGGCATACTCAGCTTTTCGGGCTCCGTGACAGGTGGAGATCGGGCGCGTTCGTTAGCCACACTTCCGGTGTTACCTGATGTCTGGCTTCGCCAGGGTGTGGCCCTGCACCGAGTGGTTCAGCCTTCTGCAGTTCGTGGCGTACCCCTAGCAGATCAGTTTGCGTCAGCTTCCGTCAGTTCTTGCATCGTCGTGCCCCCGAACCGCGAGAGTCGGATACGTTGTGTATGCACTGGCTACAGGCTGGAGAGGCTCTATCTCGCGTGCGCAGACCGATGTCGCCCCCTTCTCATGCGAAGGACGGGCTTCAGCCACATCTCTGCGATAGTGAGTCATGGTGAGTGAGGCCCTTCTCTGCTTGCTGCCCCTTCTTTTCTTGGTGTTGCCGTGTGCCCCGGCTGGCGTTCGCACTTGCACCTTTTCTCTTCGCTCTGGCTTCGCTTCCGTGTGTTATTCGGCCGGAGACAGGCGCCGCCAGGGCGACTTCCTCTTGCCGTTCCAGTACCGCCCCTGTGCCGGTCGCCGCGGTCGTCCCCAGCCGTCGGGATGCTCGGCTTGATCACCTGGTCTCGTTGCGCTGGCTGGTGCCTGGCGCCTTTTAGGCGTTCCTCGTCGCCGTCTCGCCGCCGGTCGCCGCGTAGTGGTCCCCAATCGCCGGGATGTCTGCGCCAGCCTTGGCGTGTAATTTGGGTCATTTTGTCCCTCGCATGTGCATATGCCACTGCGGCCAATTATCTTCGCTTCGCGCCCCGTTCGAGCCCCGCTCCTCGACATTCGCCTGGGAGCCGCCAGCCAAAAAAGTAACCCCACCAGTCGTTCCTGGCCTTCGGGTGCTATGCTTTGCCGTTGGCGCTATGCCATTCCTGGATTGGTTTCGGTCTCCTGCTACCCGCGTGCAGACGGCCGTCAGCCGTTCCTGGATTCCCTACCCTGGTACAGCTAATTACCTTCGTGACAATTGATATGTGGAAGCTATTCGCATCGGCATCCTGGCCTGCGATTCCTGCATTTCCCCACCAGCCTGATTCAGTTCGGCCTGGCAATCTGATGCATGTCGGCGATGGTGGACCGCCTCCGACCTCCTGGCCCTGGCGCCCCCAGCTCTCCGCAGCGCAGCTCGGCGGTTTAGGCAGCTTAGGTTTGACCCCGCGCTCTAGTTTGCTGCTCGCTGTAAGTTAGTAAGGACCGCGCCCCGGTCTTACCGACCCGCCGCCTGCGCCTTCGCTCGCGGCCGCGACCGCAGAAGTAACCCCACCAGCGAGAGTCCGTATAGCCCCATGCCTCAAGCCGTCTCCTGGGGGGGCCTCCCCCCTCTGGGGTTTGGCCTCGAAGCTGGCTGGCGCGGCCTGGAGGCCGCCGTCTCCCCCCTTGGTTCGGCCTGCCTGCCATGCCCCCGTCTCCCGGCGTGCCGCGGCCGGCGCTGCGCCGCGCTCAGCGCTGGGCGGCGGCCGCGCGGCTCGCCGCCGCCCTGGCTGCCGCCAGCGGCGGCCCCCCTGGCTTGGCTGCGGCGGCCGGCGCCGCTGGCGCTGCGCGCCGCCAGCGCTGCCACTCCTCCCGCGGCTGCCGGCGCCGCCGCCGCCGCCGCGGCCTCCGCCGCGTGCGCCGCCGCCGGCCGCGGGCGCGCGCGCCGCCGCCGCGGCCGCTGACGCCGCTGCCGCCACCGCGGCCGCTGCCATGGCGGCCTCTGCGGCCGCGCCGCGGGCCGCGCCGGCAGGCGGGGCGGTGGCTGCGAGGGCGCGGTGGCTGGCGCCGCCGCCGCCGCCGCCGCCCGCGGCCGCCGGCGCCGCGGCCGCCGCCGCCGCCGCCGCCGCCGCTGCGGCTGCGGCGCGGCAGCCTTCGGCTGGCTCCCCTCCGGCGGCCGCTGCTGCTGCCGCTGCCGCCGCCGCCGCTGTTGCCGCCGCCGCCGCCGCCCCCGCGGCCGCCGCCGCTGCCGCTGCGGCCGCCGCCGCTGGCCCCCTCTGGCGGCGGCGGCGGCGGCGGGGCCGGCGGCGCCGCGGCCGGCGTCGCGGCAGCCTTCGCGGCGGCCGCGGCTGCGGCCGCTGCCGCCGCCGCTGCCGGCCCCTCGCCAGCGGCGGCGGCGGCGGATGGCGCGTTGGCCGGCGCCGCCGCGGCGACGCGCGGCCTGCCGGTCAGCCCCACGGCCTGCCTGGCTTCCCGCCCCGCGGCCGCTGACGGCCAGCCCGACGGCCCGCCCCGCGGCCAGCCAGACTGCCAGCCCCACGGCCGGCCCCACGGCCAGCCCTACGGCAGCGCGGCCGCGCAGGGCGTCGTCAGCCGCAGCGCGCCGGTTCAGGCAGGCGGGCCTTGATTGCGCCCTTCACTCCTATGGGCACCCCTGGGGCAGTGTCTCTGTGGAGAAAGGAGATGCGACCCGAAGCGCGCCCCCTCCTGGAGACAGGGCCGCGGCGAAAATTGGGGGCGCTGCAGGGGGCGCGCCCGCGCTCGGAGACGTTCCTCACAATTCTGACATTCAGAAAGACGCATCCGAAAGTGCGGCCATCAGCTGCACAAGGAACGCGCCCCCTCCTGGAGACAGCATCGCGGCGATCGCTGGCAGCGCTGCAGAGGGCGCGCCCGCGCTCGGAGACGTTCCTCACAATTCCGACAGCCAGGGAGGCGCATCCGAAAGTGCGGCCTTCAGCTGCGAAAGGAACGCGCCCCGTCCTGGAGACAGCGTCGCGGCGGTAGTTGGCAGCGCTGCAGCGGGCGCGCCCGCGTTCGGCGACGTTCCTCGCAACTCTGACAGTCAGGAAGATGCATCCGAAAGTGCGGCCTTCAGCTGCGAAAGGAAAGCGCCCCCTCCTGGAGACAGCATCGCGGCGATCG